GGCGCCTTTGAATTGGGGGGAGACGGGTTTGCCGGGGGAGCGGGGCGGCGAGGATTCCGAACTCACATGGGTCGAAGAAGGCACGAATCGGAGCAGCAATGCAGCTGCCGTGGCGGAGCAACGTAGCTGTCATTCGCGTCGACGCGAAGGTGACACTGCACCGGCCTTTTGTCTGGGAGCGACGCAAGGGAAAAGACCCTTGGATCCTCATGCGGAGCCCGTTTTAACAGTCTCGGACGGCACCGGAAGCCAAATCATCGCCCCCCTTGGCATCAACTCCCACCGCGGCACCAGTTCTCCCCTCACCCGATCCTGGCCCTCAACCGACGGATCGACGGCCCAGACTTTCCCGGGATTCGAATCGTCGGCCGCTGGGCAACGATTCTCACCGCGGCACCTGTTTTCCCCGCACCCGATCCTGGCCCTCAGCCGACGGATCGACGGCCCAGATTTTCCCAGGATTCGAAACGTCGGTCCCGCGGCACTGATCCCCCCGAGGCACCGGGTCCCGAACCCACACCCCGCAGGCCGCATTCCCCCGCAGGCCTTCCACAGAAAGTATAAATAGTGGTGTGGGCCCACCATCTCCCTTTCTGCAAGTTCGTCGAGAGCAATGGAGCGTTGCGGAGGTTCACGAAGTGTCCGAAGCCGGCGGAGCGTTGACTCGCATATCAGAGGCTCGCGCAGAATGCAACGGAGATCTCGCTCGCACATCGGAGGTTCGCGCAGCATCATAGTGAAGTGACGAGCATCCGCATCGAAGGCAGCAGCGGAGGCCTGGGAGAACATTAAACTGCTCTGAAGCAACCACGTGCTGCCACGTGTCATCTCCGCCTATGCAGAGGCCGCCGTCGAGTCGAACTCGACGGGGGCATTGTCGAGTCGAACTCGACAATGGTCCGGGGTCATCATCGAGTCGGACTCGACAATGGGCCGAGGTCATCGTCGAGTTGGACTCGACAATGGCCTGTGTTCATCGTCGAGTCGAACTCGACAATGGCCCGGGGTCATCGTCGAGTCGGACTCGACATCCTGTGGTCATCATCGAGTCGAACTCGACAATGGCCTGTGATCATTGTCGAAGCGAACTCGACAATGGCCTGTGGTAAATGTCGAAGCGAACTCGACAATGGCCCGGGGTCGTCGTTGTGCCGGACTCGACAATGGCCTTTGGTCATTGTCGAATCGAACTCGATAATGGCCCAGGGATGTCGTCGAGTCGGACTCGACAACGACCTGTGGTCATTATCGAGTCGGAATCGACAAAGGACACGGGTTATTGTCGAGATGGAATCCACGACGGCCTGGGGTCACCGTCGAGTAGGATTCGACAATGGCCAGGCCGTCGCCGTCAGTCGTCGAGTCGAACATGACGGCCGGGAAGCGCCAAAGCCTCCGGCCACTGTCGAGTCGGACTCGACGATGACCCCAGGGCGTCGTCGATTTCGTCTCGGCATTGCCGAGTCCGACCCGACGATGAACCCAGGCCGTCGAGTCGAACTCGACGGTGGACCAGCGCCAAGTCGTACGACCGACATTGAGTCCAACTCGACAAATGCCCGGGGCCGTTGTCGAGTCCGACTTGATGACCACGGTCCGTTCTCGAGTTCGACTCGACAATGGCCATATGACTTGCCGCTGCCGATGTGTTGGACTCGATGGCCCCATGTTGGCCGCTGTCGACTTCGGCTCGACGATGCCCTACTGTCCCGCTGTCGAGTTCTACTCGACGACCGCGTGCTGGCCATTGTCGAGTACGACTCCACGGTGGCAAGCCGGCCGTCGTCGAGACAAGCTCTACGAACTCGTCCGCCGGCAAGAGCCAAGGCGTCTGGCCATCCGTTTGAGCTTCGTCGATTGTCAGTCATCGACCTCGTCGCGAGGAACGCGATGATGGATAGCCGCCGATGGAATTTGTCGTTCTGTGTGTTTTCTCCTTCTATTTTGGGAATTCGCAATGCCTGGTTATTGTGTGTAACTGCGATGGCTCCTCGGTGTGTGAGCGTGTTCGACCTTAGCAATGGCTCCCTGTTGTGGTCGTGAATCGTCTGTGTGTGTAGGACGTTTGCGATGGCTCACCGCTTCGATTACTTGTTCCCTTTTAATGCTAGCGCAAGGTACCTACGAGGTTCAAGGCGGGAGACAACTATACTTGGGGCCTGTAGAGAAGACTTCGACACGGACCCATGGATGAGCGTTATGCCCTAGCTTGAAAAGCCCTTCGATGCATGGTCCGAATTTAACTGGGAGAACACAATGAAAGACTGCCCTTGGGCATCTGATTATTGACTAACATCCAGCCAGGAATGGGGGACATTCATCTTCCTCGACCACATCCTTGTGACGAAACACACGCCGGTGTTGTCTGCGGCATTTCGTACCCGAGACCGGTCTTTATCGTTGACTGCACACAACATGTCGTGTCCACCGCGCTTGTGGGGACCATCGATGAAGATGGAGTTGCTCGACTTCGCGAAACAGAACCAGTTTCTAGAGGAATATCCCCTTCCTTTTCAGGACAACTTGACGGGGAGTGTGTCATACTTTTGCGTACATTTTGATCTCTGTCGTTTCTCTTTCGCCAGGGTTCTTTGTGTTTCGGTAAGAAATAAAAGTCAGACTTCAGCGGAAGCGAGTATTTACGTGTTCAGGAACGAGCTCATCGTTGATGGGGACTCGATTATGTTAACGCATGGTTGGAGGAACGGTAGGTTTGACGTGAAACTGGCGGGGCAGGTCGATACACCCCGGCATTGGGAGGAGGTCGAGGAGTACGTGAAGGTCATTAGAGACGCCATCGGTCGCACTTTAGCGAGATCATGTGGTTTCGTCCGTGCACGATATGTGTCTTGCTTCTCCTCCACTGCAACCCTGTGCAGTCCACAACTCCTGACGTATGGTTCATCCGTGAACGCAGTGTACGGTTTCGGGGCGAAAGGATAGGCGAGGTCGAAGGGGAGGTCATGGGAGATGAACAGTCTAGGACATGTCAGCTATTCAGCTGTTCAGCAAAAGTGACACCTGAGACTATGTATGCGTGCGAGCATTGAGTTTGATGTGAGCTTGTCGACGCCGGTTTCACCTCTCTCTCTCTTTCTCTCTCTTATGTGTTCGTGTGTGTGTTTAGTGATCGGTGGAGCGTACTGTTAGTCGCTCGTTGCGGGTGCCGGTTGCCTGCCTTGCCAATTGAATGCCTCAAATTGATGATGGATGCAGGCTTCCAATTGACGTGCCTTGATTGGTGTGCCTTGTTCATGACGCCGCTTCCTATTCAGCGAAAGATGAACAATGTGAGAAATGTGGGCCATTCAGCAACAGTGTGGACTGAGATTGTGTGTGTTATGAAAGCAATGGGTTTGATGTGAAATTGTCGATGCCGGCCTTCGATCCTTCTGCTTTGTTTGATGTGACTTTTAGCTACGCCGCTCCCGTGTTCTGTTTGTCTGCTTTTGGATACGCCGTCCCATTCCCGTGTTCTGTTTGCCAGCCCGGTCATGTCGAACTGTCGCGCTGGTCCCCCACGTTTGAGTCGAACTCGATCAAATCGACCTCCATCGAGTCGATCTCGATCGAGTCGATCTCGATCGAGTCGAACACGATCGAGTCGAACACGATCGAGTCGAACACGATCGAGTCGAACACGATCGCCTGGGCTCACGATCGGATCCAACACGATCGTCTGGACTCACGATCGCCTGCACTCACGTTCGAGTCGACACGATCGGCTCGAAGACGATCGCCTTGACTCACCATCGAGTCGAACACAATCGCCTGGGCTCACGATCGACTCGAACTCGATCGAGTCGAACACGATCGTGTCGAACTCGATTGAGTCGAGCACGATCGAGTCGAGCACGATCGAGTCGAGCACGATCGAGTCGAGCACGATCGTGTCGAACTCGATCGAGTCGAACACGATCGCCTGGTCTCACGATCGACTCGAACACGATCGAGTCGAACACGATCGAGTCGAACACGATCGAGTCGATCATGATCGAGTCGAACACGATCGAGTCGAACACGATCGAGTCGAACACGATCGAGTCGAGCACGATCGAGTCAAACGCGATCGAGTCGAACACGATCGAGTCGAACACGATCGAGTCGAGCACGATCGAGTCGAGCACGATCAAGTAGAACACGATCGACTCGAACGCGATCGAGTCGATCACGATCGAGTCGAACACGATCGAGTCGAACACGATCGAGTCGAACACGATAAGCCTGGACTCACGATCGGATCCAACACGATCGTCTTGAACACGATCGCGGCTGCCTCGTCACGAAGGAGATGCTGTCGTATCACTATCTGGAACTTTTCTGCTCCTCGTGGCATGCCAACGTTGTGCGGCCTTCTGATTTTTTGCTTCGCGGTGACGTGCTGTGTTGCTTTCAGATTAGGCAGCGCTACAAAACATGGAAGGAGAGGGGAAGGCAAGTAAACGACGAGCAAGTAAGAATTCTGGGAGCATGGAACAATCTCCGAAAAAATCGAAGGGGACGCCAGCCGCTGGGGTTGGAAGTCTGGAGGCACTGGGGTCTAAGCGGCAACGCACCCCGGTTTCGAGGGGTGCACCTTCCACGGGCACTCCATCGACTCGTGTTCGGGGCTCTGGACCGGATAAGGCTGTGTTGATGACTGGCGGGCCTGCGGGTCAGGAACGTGTGCCTGGTCCACAGCAGGGGAGATCTGCAGTGGAGGTTATGCCCGGACGCAAACCGTCTGGAGAACGGAAACCGTCTGGCGAACGTAAACCGTCTGGCGAACGTAAACCGTCTGGTGAAAGGACTCCCGCGGGTCGGCGAGACGATGTCCCCGTGATTGACCACAAAGACAAGTTCTGGATGCTGGACTGGGTGGGGGAGACCGGACAACCATCGAGTGGCCTTGTTCTTTACATGGTCAATATTGTGCCGGTTGGCGGCCTTGTGAGGTGGACTGGGCAAAATGTGCCGTTTGCAACTTTCGAGTTGACGATGGTCCTGAATGGAAGAGGGAAAAAAATACCAAACAGTAAACACGTCGCTCTTCGATGGGCCAAACACGCGGGGTTTGGAAAGTCGCCGGTTGATGTGTTCAACCCACCAGGGACATTGGAAGTGAAGTTGCCTAACCTCGTTAACGTCCTCGGTGATCGCGGGCAGAGAGCTGGTTGTGCATCCTGAGGACCGCATATCAGAGCCTAAATGCGTGCTTTCGAAAACCGTGGAGACAGGGCCTTCGATCACGATCCGCGATACGCCGCCTGGTCCGAAAGCTGGGCAGATAGGAGAGAAGGGTCCGTGTCGCGGACTGGTCGTACCGTCAGCCCCTATGAAGACCAGGCCAATGACGACAAAAACACCAGTTGCCTTGGGCAGCCGATCGCGCTATGATGTGGCCACCAAGGGACATCTCCCCTTGGTGGGCCAGCAGCGCTATGACTACACTGTGCCGGGCCGTGTAGAGGAAGTCTATGAGTATTTTGAAGATGAGGATGAAGAGAACAGCGAGGAATATTCGGAACGAGCAGGAGGACAGGAACAGTATGTTGTGGGTGTCGGCAGCATGACTAGGCATCCAGGAGAGATTGTTGGACAGGATAAAGACAGTAAGCACACTGTGAGCTCATCTGGTGGGGAGGTTGGTCTGGTAGGAGGATATGGGAGCAGCTACGAAGGATATGAGGGGGATGTGCACGCGACAATGGTTGTGGCTGGGCATACAGATGTTGCAAGGCTCGCTGAGCGAAAGAGGAAGCACATGCGGGAGAGGAAAAGTCTTATGGATAATAAACGGAGTAGGCAAGAAGCGGGTGAAAAAAAATGATTGAAAATAATGCCCGTGGATGAGGCGGTCCAGCGAACGAGGGAGACTGAGGCAGCCGCGAAGAAAAAGCAGCAGCCAAAGAAAAGAAAGGCAAAAGGTGGTGTTATGGAAAAGACTTCTGTTTTTCCAGCAGAACAACCACAATCGGATGAAGAGGCCAAAGGCAAGACAGTTACTAGGCCGCCAAGTTTGCGAAATGTGCTCTCAGTGACTTCTTCTGGTGTTCTTAGCAAAGTTTTTTTCCTTGAGTTGGACGAGCGTGGGAACTAATGTCCAAACATGGAATTCATTTCTGTCCAGTTCGACATAATTCTGGATATCTCCGACGGGGAATTCAGATACAATCAACGCTATCTTGTGCAGCAGACGGTTGACGACATTTATGACGCAATGATTAAATCGGGTGAGGCTGCTATGAGAGAGATAATGATTGGAGCTGCCGGTGTGAATGTTTGTACGTTGTATGAGAAGCCTGTCCTTTTGTTGGTTGCCCTTCGTGATACATTGCATACTGACGCTTCAGGGAGGATTGTGAGAGCAAGGAGGGTGTTGCCCGATGATTTCGACCTCGAATCTGTGAACAAGTACTACTACTACCCTCTCAGCGGTCAGCATAACGTGGCGGCGGCAAGAAGGTGTTTTGTTGAACGCCCTGACATCGCACAAGAGCTCCGATTGGATCGCTGAACTGCGAGGCCTGTTTATTATCCGGATAAGAGCATGGACAATTACGGCACGCTGAGCACTTTCTAGAACTCCAAGGACAAATGGAATACCCCACCGCACCAGAACGTGGTCGTCCAGAACGTACGGAAGTTGTGGCACGAGTCGAACTGTCCTGAAGCTAAAGGCGGCTCAACGGTAGAAGTGAAAAATGCAGAGTATGGAAAGTTTGCAGAAAAGGCTCTTCGTTTGACCAGGATTCGTAATTTGATTGACATGTCCCTTACTACTCAGTGGAACGGCCAGTGGTCTGACGCCCTCGGGCCCTACATGTTGTTGGCAAGGGCGATAGATGACGTTTTCGAAAAGGTGAAACAAGTGTACGCCGACTTGGGAAGCTGGACAATTGCCGGGGAGAGATGTTGTGAAGCCTGCTACCAAACAAGGTGAATAAGGGAAGGCACCGAGGACATGACCCAAATTTGAGTTGAAAGGTGGAGTTAGGTATCCGGTTCACTGGTTCAAGGTACCAAAGGACCAGGTTACCTCGTGGTTGTGCACGATCCGGATATTAGAGCGTGGAAACCTTTTTCATCGCTTGGGAGGCGTGAGCGGCTGCAACTGTTGCGAGACATTCTCACAAGCAGTGTAATACTGACTCCTAAGCAAAGTGGAGCTGCTCAACGTGCCAGAAAATATTCAACGGAAACATATGTGGAAATGGTGAAGATTGAAAGAGCAATGTTAAGGATGTTTCACTACTTCGTCTTCATTTCTGACCCTCACAGGAAGTCGTCAGAGTGGACGGAACCATTCTTCAACAACCTTTCCGATTTGTTTGATAAGTACTCTGATGAAGGATTGACGTCCGAGAAGCGGATCGACCAGCGTCGCCATTTCAAAGAGATAAGTTGGGTGCGAACGTTCCCGGTTACACTTGGAGGAGAGGAGGAAAAAGGAGAAGAGGGCTTCAAGAAAACAGCGTCACTTGCTGCGAAGTGCCCCAAAGAGTTCGTGCAGTTTGTCAACAAGCTGCTGCGCAGATCAGAAACCAGGGGTTCGAAAAATATAAGAATGTCGGGCTCAGCGCAATATATACATTTAAAAAAACAGAACGTGAACTCTGTTTTCGTCCCATTCCAACGGGAACCAAGCGATATTTCAGACGAGATGAATTTCAAGGAAATATATAGAATCGTCAAACATCTGAGTTGCCACACAGCCGTGCTGGATTTGTGTCACCCAACCCAGATAGGGGTGTGGACTGAAGAAGTCTTTGAGGGTCTGCGGAAGTTCATGGGAAAACTGGCTGGTGATTATTGGACATTATTGTGCTTCGTTCCGCGGTCTTGCGAGTATACATTTTTCAAGCGAGTTACAAGTTGGGAGATTGACATTCACTTGTCTATTCTAAAGTGGACTCGTCAGCTACAAACGAAGGCGAAACATTTATATAAGGTTGCGAACTTGCCTTTGGAGGACATAGATAGAATGACTGTCATCATTTACTCCAACGATGGGGATTATCACCGGAACACTATTCCCTTGCTTGAAGACATTCCAGCAAGCACTCCAGCTGCAGATCGATCATCTGGCGAGCAGGCGGGTGACTTATCAGCACTTGTGCGCAGAGAGAGAAGACCAAAGATGTTGGCTGATGTCGTGGAGAAGAACTTCACGCCCACGAAGTTGAAAATGGCAGGTATGGAGCCAAAAGAGAAATTGGTGTACGAAGGTATGGAAAGGGAGCCAAATGCGATGGTGGAGACATTGGAGCATTTTTGTCCTGCGGATGAGGCGGTTGTTTTCCTGGGAAAAGGCCATGCGACGTTGATTTGGGAGTTGTTAAAGAGTCACCGTCATTGCATTGTTCAGGAAGGGGAGGGTATGGAGTTCGAGTTTCTCGTTCAATTCGTCACCAGGATGGTCAAGAGTGGACTTTACCTCGCCAAATTTGTTAAGCCGCCTCCTCGACATGATGAAAAGCGTGATATCGTCTGCAAAGTCGGCAAAAACATCGTCAACATTTGGGAGTTCCTTTTCGAGACTAAGCCACAAAACAGAGGGGAATGTGCATATGTCATCAGAAGCAGGGTTGTCACGCGTGGGCCCCTGGGGGCAAAGCCGGGGTAGGGGTTTGACCCCCGGACCCCCGCCGCGGGGCTGGCCCACCCCCGCCC